AAGTAATCAGAATCTAAAGTAGCTGACATTTCCCCAAAGAATTCTGGGAACTATAGCACAGAACTAAAATTCCCAGCACACTTAACAAAATATAGTTCCCATAATTCTTTTTTGGGGGGGAGTCATGTGCTTTAAATGGATGGTGTGCTCACAACCTCGATGCCAAATCATGAGAGTATCAAGAGGCCTTTTTCCACGCTTATTTGGGGGAAAATATGTTCCAGAATTATTGAAGGGCTTATCAAAACTTGTTTCTGTAATCCTACATTAAATATATATATATATAGACTCACTTTTAAAGTCTGAAATAGGATTACAACATAAAAACACTGTTACAGTATTATTTTAGCTTAAAAATATTTTACAGCCCATACAGAAAACAAAACCCTGTCACTTACCATTTTAACTGTTAGCACTGTTAACTGTAAAACACCTCCTTCTGTTTCCTTCCCAGAACCATGGTGGAACACATGAAAGGTCAAATATATAAGATAGAATTCTAACACACCGAGATTTCACTCCCATGTTAATGCACCTCAGATCAAGCCTGCAAAAGTGAAAATAATAAATTTAGGGAAACAAGCAAAATGACCCTACTGGTTGGTTGGTTTCCTAGATATCATCTACATATTTTAGAAACGTACAACCTTCTAATAGAAATGAATAAACTACTCAACCATAAAGTTGCTATAGAAGATATTCTTGTTCTGATTGGAAAGGGCATCTGCTATCTGCAATATTGATAATACTTTTCAAATTTCATCTGCTTTTGTTTGCATTCTGTGTCGTCTGTTTAAACACACTGGGAATAATAATGAATCCCTGCATTATCTTCACTTTTTCAAGGCCGAACATATAACTTTATCACAAAAATAATTAAAATTCTTTGGCACTCTTGTATCTTTTCCATTAAACGTTATCAAGCAGTGACAATAAACTAACATCAGTCCAAGGCTGCCCATATGCTGCTTTTTAAAAAGAATGCATTTGTCCCAGGGTGAGATACATGAATTTTGTGTTTACAGGGTCAAAGAATTCTGAAGTTTTTTATAGTGTTAGGACTATAAATCTGGGTGCGCACATAAGCAAGGATCATTAGGTAAAGCAGGGATACCTATAAACTTGTTAAAATGTCTCTTAATAGACAAATCTTAGCCACTTTATAACTCAGGGTGTGATAGATGCAAAGGGCTGGCACAATATCTCAGGCTCCAATTCTCAAAGAATATCACAAGCACAGAATCCTCAATGGGGCACTTTCCTCCTCTTCCCCATTTCCATGCTTATACAAGGCTCAAACGGAACCCGGGCTTAGCTACTTTTTGTTGCAGAATGAGCCTTCAGTGCCAGGTCCTGAAATATTTAAAGACAGACTGTGTTTACGCATATACACACTGCCTTTTTCTCATCAGTAAATAACCACAACAGCTACCTTGGATTCAGAGGAAGTGCTCCCAGGCCAGAGACCAAACTGTATTTGTTATCTGGCATCTTCTCCTTTTTTAAAAGGAATTAAGAGTGATTTTACACACAGTTAGGCTATGTACACAAATAGCCACTGAAACTCACAGGGGTTGGGTTTCTTCACAGTACGCTTTTGTATACAATGGTTTGCAACTGTACACCATTATCAAAAATGGCAGCTATGATCCATGTTGCATGTAAACACAATTGGGGATGTTTTCAAGCTAGTGTGCCATGGTGTTCTCTATTCCCCTCCCCTCAATTAGTGTTCCATATATATATATAAATACACACACACACACACACACACACACACTGTTTTGTAAAAAAAAAATATTAGGCAAAAATTCATCCAAACATATGTAATTTACAGGGAATTCAGATTAAACACTGATAAATGTTCATGAGGACATTTTTTTAAAAAAAATCAAATTGTTGTGACTATATTCATAATTTTAAGTTTTTGATTTTTTTAGTGTTGTTGTTTTTATTGTTGTAACCCATCTTTAGACCTTAGAGTGAACAGCAAGTAATAAACAAAAATAATAGTAATAGTCCAACAAATTTCAGAGGCCCAAGGTTGAGAAAGGCTGCCTTAGAGGGTTGTTGTAAGAATTACAGCTAAACAATGCACATGAAACACTTCAAAGATGGATTTCTTATTAACTATTCTTATCACCTAACTTTTTTTCAAGGAACAAAAAGTAACACAGATAGTCACTGACACCCCCCCCCCGCCATGCCCCATTTCACTGCCACAACAACCCTGTGACATAGGTGAGACTGAGAGAGTAATCCAGCAAGTTGTTGGGTGTAGTAACTTTGATCAAAAATGGCTACAGAGAAAAGCTTTAAAAACACCCCTCCCCCTCCTCAATATCTGATCAAGTTCACAACTTCATTTCATTAAAATAAAACTTTAAAAAATTGTGAGACTGGTATTGCATCTTATCCAGTTTGACCATAGAAGCTAATTAAAGGGTGGAAGATTTTCCTCAAGCAGTGTTCTCACGTAACAGGATTTTTTCTCCCTGATAATAATATAAATAATAACTACTGAATGCTGATGCTCCAGTCTTTTGTTGGATTGGCATACGGCATGAATAGTTTTATTGATGCTCACTGTATACCATGTGGATGAAAGACAGTCTGGAGATATTTTAAATATAAATAAATACTGTAATAAGTAATAACGTGCAGGACAATCAACGCACATTGGCAAGAAAGGCAGAGCCGCAACACAAGCAGCTTATAATTTTAACACTGGCAAAGGGAGAGGAAGGAAGAGAGGAAGGGCTATGGCTTACAGTAGAGTCCATGTTTTGCGTACAAAAGCCCCCAGGTTTATCTTCTTGGCATCTCCAGGAGCTGGGGCTACCCCCTGCCTGTAACCCTCCTGAGCCTGCATGGTGCAGTGGTTAGACAGCCGGACTAGTACCTGGGAGACCAGGATTCAAATACCCACTTGGGCATGAAGCTCATTGGGTGACCTTAGAGGCCAGTCACTGCCTCTCAGCCTAACCATCCTCCACAGGGCTCTTGTGGATATTAAATGATGAGAGAGTGAACCTTTGGGGCTCCTTGGAAAAAAATATGGGATATAAGTGCAACAAACAAATCATGGAGCGCCACTGTCAGTCAGTGTGTAGATAATGCTGAACTATATTGGCCACTGGCCTGACACAGTATAAAGCAGCTTCCTCTGTTCCTAGGAGAGTGGTGAGGGTAACATGGGACAAATATGGAGCAAATGGAAGCAGTCAAAGATACGTAGCCTTCTTTTTAGATGTGGATCATGTCTGAGGCATAAAGCCAATTCACAGAATATGTGGGTATTCAAAATTTGGAAGGGGGATTTGATGGGAGAAAGTGGGTGAAGCTTGATGTAATGAGGCTTCACACTGGAATTTTTAACTGAATATTTTGTCCGTATACATTGGAACCAATGTCAGCTTATGTTATAAACTTAAGGCTGTTCTGCTCACTTCGGTGTCACCCATACACAGTATTGCATAGCAATGAGCCCTCTTTCCTAAACAAGTAACCGGAACTGAGTTACTAAACTGATCCATCAGTATAATTGAAGAACTTCCATAGGAAGGCAGAAATGTTAAAGAGACGTTAAATTCTCTCTGAGTGTGTTTTGTTAGCTCTTTCTCTCTCTCAATAATCAGAAGCAGAATTCCTACAGTCCTGTGTCTCATGTGGAATGCTTAAGCAAGAAATCCATAACTTTTAATATGATGAGATTGTCCTGCTAGAGGAGATGGATTTTTTCCAATATCCCTGCTAACAAACAAGGTGAGTTCCCTGTATCAGCACATTTCAGTTTTCTATTCCACAACACTCACGTGCTGCATTTAGAAGGAATACATAGCTCAGTATTTTAAAATCACATTATAAATGAGATATGTACACAAGGATCAGCTGACAGGCAGATGTCTTAACAGCGGAATTTCAGAACAGCAAATGCTTTTGGAACCAGATGCATTTAACAGCTCTGAAAAATTCTCCATCATTTTTCACCTGCAAAACCTGCCCCCATTGGAGCAGCTAATAAAAGCCAAAGTAGATGTAACACTGGTAGACATGTGTGCGTTTTCCAAACATGGATTTGCCCCAAGATGCAAAGAGACCATTTCTCACAGTGAATGCTCCATCTCCCCACTGCTAACCTTTCTAAAGCTCTTCTCTCCAAGTGGTGGCATTAGAATTCAGCTAAAGAGTGACGCACCTGGGGGGGGGGACAGACACTGATCAGGAGTGTTTATTTGTATTGCTTTAAAGCCTGTTTTCGTTGTTTTCACTGTGTGGTTGTGAAACTGCTTTGAGATTTAAGTGAAAGGTGTGTCATAAATTAATAAAATAAAAAACAATGCTTTCGTGGCTTGAAAAACATGAGCACTACACTACAACGCCAAAAAGTGGTCTCAATTCTTCTCCCTTCCTCACTGGATGGGGAGACAGAAAGTAGTTCCCATAGTTCTGCAGCCCATTTATAATAAATTTAAGCATGAACATTACTCGTATGAGGTGTTTTTCTTCTAAATAAATAAATAGTTTAGGGGTATTCACATTTTCCTACTCATATTGAAATACTGCCCCTCAATGAGGCTGAACTTGGATTCACAAAATGTTTAGGGGGAAGCATACCCCTGCGCCCCCCCTGAAAAAGAAAGCACTGCTTGTACGTATGGTCATTTTTACAGAGAGAGAATGGAAAACTGCAGCCGTGCATACACATAAAAGAGAGTGGATAGTTGTATCATGTTATGCAGCACAGGCCAGGGACTTCAGGCGGCACTTTACAGAGAGACGATCCTTGGGTATCCTTTTATTTGCACCACAAAGCTATTATATCACACATGGATAGCAATAGCATTTTCTGTGGTACCACAGCCCAAGGCCTCTGCAGAGGTTTATACAGAAAGGAGAGAGGGATTTAACAACAAAAAATACTGAGTTGGGTAGTTTTGTCACCCAGGGAAAGTTCACCGAAACAAAGTACCTGGAAGGGAAGACAACACTTACACCTTAGCTTTCTCTTGTAGGATAATGGCTGCCTTAGTTGTTCCCGATGACTGGGAAAGACCCATCAGATCTGAGCTCTGTTTATCTCCCACAAGCCTCCTTCAATCCACATTCTTGCCTGTAAGAGGATGCAGGATTTTATTATTGAAATGGAAGGCCCTTCCTTCTTTCCCCAGCCTGTTAGATAAGCCACCATCAGCTGCTCTGTATTGCTTGTTAATTGCAGTACACACCATACATTTAAAGCAAACCCCTAGGATTCTTTGGGGAGGGGAAATGTGATTTAAATATGTGGTGTGTATGCAGCTGTAGCCACCCTGGAAGTAGCTCATTTTGTTTGCCAGTGAGGGTGGTGTCTTAAAGGGAACTTTCACACGACATTCTCTTTTGGGTGTGATGGGGATAAAGATGTCATGTAAGCAGAACTGCCTGCTAGCCAGCCTCATGCCATGTCTTCTTTCCCAGTTCCAAAACCCCTGCAAATAGTTCTAGCATTTACCACAAACATTAATATTTCAGATAATGCTAAATAAAAAAGGGCATTACACTTCATCTGCATTTTCACTTAATGCTAATACAGGCACTTGTCAGTAGATGTAAAAGTAACAGGAGACAAGGGTTTATTTTTATACCTCACACAACAGCAACTGGTGACTTTCCTTAGATCACTGTATGTGTGCAGGCACTTGCATTCCCCCCCCCTTAACTGTTGAAATGTTTTAGACAGATTTTTCCCTCCCACCCCTACTCTGTTCCTCATTCAAAATAAAAATAATTTTAGACCATCTCTGACATTCTAATTTCAACAACCGAATAAGAAGATAGAAATTGCTTTTGCCTTAGATACAGCAGTTCAGTGTAAAAAAATTTAAAACCAAATCGTGATGGAACTACCTTCTCCTCAAGGTTGACAAAGGGCAATTTATTTTTGGCCTTGTTCAAATTGTCATTTTTTCTGGTTTCCTCTGGCCCATCTATAAACCATGTGGGGGAAATGTACCCTAAAGCTGTGGGTTTTCTTCAAGTTTATTACACTGATTATTACAGTGATAATAAGGTATCCCTGTTAATGTGCACTGCTCTTCCCAAAGCTCCTCTACACCATACCACCACCACCCTAATTGAGACAGAGAAATTAAGAGTAGTAATTTTCCAAGGTTCCTCTAGCAAAACATGGGAGCAGAACACAAGCTGGAGGGCAGAGGAGGGTGACCAATATGGCAAAGGGTCTGGAAACCAAGTCGTATGAGGAATGGTTGAGGAAACTGGGTATGTTTATCCTGGTAGAGGATAGTGAGAGGAGATATGATGGCCATCTTCAAATATCTAAAAGGCTATCACATGGAGGATGGAGCAAGCTTGTTTTCTCCAGCTTGAGAGGCTAGGACCTGAGCCAATAGGGTCAAGTCACAAGAAAGGAATTGCCAACTAAACATCAGGAAGAACTTTTTGACAGTAAGAGCTGTCTCCTATGAGAGGTGCTGGACTCTCCTTCCTTGGAGTCTTTGAAGCAGACATTGAATGGTCATCTGCTATGTATGTGCTAGTTGAGATTCCTGCATTGCATGAGATTGGAATTGATGACCCTCAGGGTTCCTTTGACCCCACTATTCTACGATTCTATGAACAATACTTTAAATTAAAATTGGAATAAGTTGGATCCAAAGGTTCCCTTCCAAATGCAGAAGGCATATTTTGCTCATTGGAGAACTGTTTCCTCATGCAATTTGTGATACAACTGTGTGGTGCCATCTTGCACAAATTCTTCCACTTGTACAGAAAGGTTGAGGCAATTTGATGCACAATAATTGATATGCAACCTGCTTATTACAGAACTGTATGTAAACTCTCAATCTATCAATCAATCTTTAATGACCAGCACCAAAGAAGCAAAATAGGAAACACACAAAAGTCATTATCCAGATGTCTGTAATAGCATAAAAGCAAATAAAATAAATTATATGAACTGTGTGGACTCTTGCACACGCTCTTGCTGAAGAACACAATTGGCCTCCAGTGACTTTTTTTAAAATCTAGCCCACAGTGTTTGAAGTATAAGTTCATTCTACAACTGTCATTTTGAAATAAAAAAGGCATGGACTTGGGAACCAACTGAAGAGTCCTTGCTTGCCTTAGAGAAGGCTTATAGGGTACACATTTGTAGTAATTGCATGGTATCTAAGAGTGCCATATTCTTGACTGCTTTATGGACCTCTTTTGTGATGTTGAATTCATTGCCCCACTGAGGTTCCACCCATGAAGTTACTCCTGATTTATGCTGGCATAAATGTCATAATTTAGTTTACGAGTTGAGAGTTGTGTATTTTTCAGAATCTAACTGAAGCTCCCCTTCCAGGGCAATTTATTAGAGCTAGCTAGTTCTGCACTGAAAGGAAACCTGTGAGAATGGGGCAATGCCAAGAGAAAATTGGCCCAACATAAACTCAAATCCCAGAGGACTGGCAAAGAGTGAATGTGCAAGAGCAATTTCAGCTCAGCAGTGCTCAAACTGCTATGACATGCTAGTCTGAACAGTTGAATTTTGATCATCCAATATAACACTTAACATCTGGGTAGAATTGGTGCACCAATCAGAAGAGCAGTCTACCACTTGAGACAGGTTAGTACAATCAGCTTAGGAAGCTGCCTTGTATTAAGTAAGACCATTGGTTCATTTAAGTCAGTATTGTCTACATCAACAGATATCAACTCTCCAGAATTTAAGAACATAGGCCAGTAATCTATCTAGTTCAGCATCCTTTTCTCACAGTGGTCAACATGATATTGATGATATACCCCTCCTTTTTCCCTGATGGAGCTCAAGATGGCTTACAGAGAAAAACAAGAATTGATAAAATAAATTAAAACTATATAAATATATGTTTAAAGCATACAAATAATTGCAATAAAAACAGCACAGCACCAGCCAGTTCATTAAAAGCAGTCAGTTCCCAAAAGCTTGTTCAAACAAGGAGGTCATCACCTGCCGGCAGAAGGACAAGAAGGAGGAAGCCGGTCTAGCTTCTCCAGGGAGGGAGTTCCAGAGTTCGGGAGCAGGGAGTCTGGGATGCCTGTGGAACACCCACAAGAAGGACCCAAGCACAACAGCACTCTCCTGTGGTTTCCAGCAACTGGTATTCAGAAGTTTTACTGCCTTCAACAGAGTCTTTCCCATTCCTTCCTGGAGATGACTGGGGTTAAACCTGGGCACTTTTGAATGTAACAGATGTCCTCTACCACCAAACTGTAGCCCTTCCCCAAGAAGTCTTTAAGGATATACAGTGGTACCTCAGGTTACATACACTTCAGGTTACAGACTCCGCTAACCCAGAAATGCTTCAGGTTAAGAACTTTGCTTCAGGATGAGAACAGAAATCACGCAGTGGCGGCAGCAGCAGGAGGCCCCATTAGCTAAAGTGGTGCTTCAGGTTAAGAACAGTTTCAGGTTAAGAACGGACCTCCGGAACGAATTAAATACTTAACCTGAGGTACCACTGTAATTTCATTACAAATATAGCTGAACTATGTTATTTGCTGAACAGCAGCCTGCAGCCTAGTTTGGTGCAGGATCTGGGATGAACTAGCTTGCAGTTACTCCCTTCTGGAACCTGACTTTGATCCAGCAAAAACACCAGCCTTTATTCTTACAAGTGTCTCAGCCCCACTATTTTGCTTCCCATTTCCTCTGCCTTTGTTCCTTCTCCTAGCCTCATTCTGTCGCTGTCAGATCTGCACTTCTACAATATTTAATTAGCCTTAAATATAGCAGAGGTCCTAGTGATCTTATCTTAGCTGGGGTACTGTGAATAATCTGATACTAATACCACCACTTTTCATGAAAAGTACTTGGGATAATAACTGCAGTGAAAGTATTCGCTTCTTCACTCTTCACTTATTCTTTCACCTTTAAATGGTGAAGCTGCTCTTCACTGCTTCTCCTGGAACTGTGAGAGATGCATATACAGTAGATGCCAGATTAGGTTAACAAATGTTTGAAAACATCACAAAACACTACAATGGTGACAGCCCTGTTCTATTGCCTGATTACTTACACTATTAAAACCAAAGCTTACATCTTCCTTAGCAGATCTGGAATTAACTTAAATTTGAACATGTTGGCTTCATTGGATTGCTAAATGGGCTACCCAGAACATCCCAACCATGATGGCTTTTCAGGGGGGGTGTCTTACTCTGCCCCTCCTCAATCTGTCCTAGTAGTTGCAAGAAGCTCTATAACATGTCATATAAGATCTCTGTTGGATCCACTATGTCTCCTTTCCATTCGTAGCCAACCAAAGCAACATTACGGCGGTGATGTGTTTCCAGCTACTCCACCCACTGCTTTTGGAAGCCTTATAAGAAACTGCTGCAGGAGATTGTGAACAACATCATGAGAGAGAGGGGTTTCCAGGACCCAGGTGAAGCTGTCAAGCTCCCTTACTATTTTGGCTACTGCCACGAGTTGTTAATATAATCTTGTTATATTTATAGTACTGAGATGTTGTGGGGCTTTTACATGTTGTTATATTTGATATTGTTTTATTATGTTACTATGAAACTCTTTGTGCAATGGTTTAAGATGCATACCTGTTTTCTTTGTTATAAGCTGCTTTCAGCATGATTCTTTTGGAGGAAAGGCAGCATACAAATAAAATGATGAAGATGAAGAAGCCTACAGCGCCTTTACCATTTTACCCCATTCCCAGTACAGGCAGCGTGCCTCTGAACCTAGATATGTACTTTATTTCTCATGGATAAAAGCTGTTGATAATCCTATTCTCCTCCATGAATTTGTCTAACTCCCCCTCTGAGGCCATTCAAGCCATAAAAAAATAAGAACAACGATGCTGAATCAGACCAGTGGCCCGTCTAGTCCAGCATCCTGGTCTTGCAGCAGCCAATCAAATGCCCCAATGGGAAGCCTGCAAGCCAGTGGGCATCATCACACCTTGAGGCACCAAATTCCCTAAATTGATTCCATGTTTCACAAATAAATACTTTGTCCTGGACTCACTGCCAACCAACCTGTAGTAGTGTGCTTCACTCCAGATGCTGGTAAATCACAAGCTGCAGCAAAGGTGTGTTCTTTGCTTACCACTTGTGGCTTGTCCACGGGAG